TCTAAATTGCTGGCTGCAGCTAAAGCTATGATTGCAGCTAAATGGAAAGATCCCTCCCCTCCTACTCTACAACAATGGTATCAAAAGATCTGGGAATATTTTATATTAGAGAAAATTACTGACAATCTTAAAAAATCTAACTCTGAAACTTACCTTACTGATTTTGTCAAAATGTGGCACCCAGGATTTGAATTGTTGCCTTCACAAACCATAATACCCTCATCTATAGCCTTAGAGGAATTTTGTTACCTTTAAATATGTACTGCAGCTGCATAGACTTTGTATTGTATAACATCAAGGATATTGTCACTCAGCTGTAACACAATTGAAGGTATCAGCCATAATCTAAATATCATCTTGTAATATTTTGTAACTTCAAGTTGTTGGTTTTTCCCCTTCTTTTCTCGTATGCTAGGTTTTAATATATTTGAATTTATTTATTTTTTTAATCAGCTAAGGAAAAAGTAGGACTGGTTCAAAATCTCACATGTGACTTAAGAACAAGACAGGCTATGCACAAGTGCCAGAAAAGAATGAGATAAGGCTGGGGACAAGGAGCCAAGGACACATGGCGTTGCTATGTCTATCACAACTCTTTCTTGATGTTTGTCAGCATATGTAAGAACTTCATCAAGCCAATCCAGCTGGTCTTGACTGAACCCTCCATTGAACTGTACAAACTGATGTTCAGCAAGGCCTATAAGGAAAGAAAAACAATCAAGAATCTCACCAAGTAACACACGTATGGTCTGGTTTCAAATGTGTATCTTGGGGATAACAGCTTTTCCATTACAGGACTTCTAATTTAAAATAGATGTTTATATAAGGACTTCTCCAGCTTTCAACAGAAACAGCATAACAGTGTCTTTTCCTTAAAAAAGGATAAATGACCAGAAATCTGACATCAAGAATCACAAAACTGAGAAACGTGTAGGAGAACATTTCACCCTCCTAGGACACTCAGTGAGGGGCCTCAAAGTAGCTGTTTTATTGCAAAGGAATTTCAGAAACAGACCAAAACAGGAGACAGCTGAATTACAACTTATTACAACACTCAGGATAATGGAACCCCCAGAGCTTAACAGAGATATTGGGTTCTTATCTCACTACACATGCTAAGTCACTCAGTTCTTATTAATTCCCAGAATTAAACTTTGTTGTCTTAACTGGATGTTTACAATATATTCTTCTTGGGGCTACCTTGAAGAGTGTTTGGAAGTTGCTGCTAGTGCAGAATGCAGAGCCTAGACTGCATGCAGGGGCCACCTATTGGGAGCATATGTCCCCAATAGTACAGCAATTACACTGGTTACTGATCCACTCCCAAGACCAGGGTCAACAAAAAATATCATTACCACTTTATGCAGACGATATGGTTCTATTCTCTTTAATGAGAATTGATCTAAAGAGACTCTTCGCTTGGGAGACTATTGCAAGGAGAAGAGGCTATTAAATACTCCAAAACCAAGGTGGTGGTATTCCGTAAAAGACCCCAAAAAATGTATGGAATATCCAAGGTGTCCCAGTAGAACAATGTAAGATATACAAGTATTTGGGTCTAACATTTAGCGAAACATTGAATTGGAATGCCCATGTAGCCTCCATCAAATCAACACCAAATAAGTCATTGGGAGTAATTTTGAGATTTTATCTAACTAAAGGGGGCTTTTTAATAGATCCAGCTGTTAAGCTCTTTATCACCAAAGCTCTTTAAGCTCTTTATTACCAAAGTAGTCTCCTTGACACAGAGAGTACTCCATCTTTCCATGTTATACCTCTGAGGATGCCAGTCGCAGTTACTGGTGAAACATCAGGTTCTACAATGCCAAGACCATGGCCACACAACCCGGAAAATCTACAGCAACTAATGAACTCCGGCCATGAAAGCCTTCAACAACATAGTATCTCGTTAGTTGTACGGAATAGAACTTTGGGGTTGGAAGGAGCAAATACTGACCAGCCTGGAGACAGTGCAAAATCTCTTCCTGAGGTGGTTATTGGCACTGCCCAAGGGTTCTCCTGCGGCGCTAATGAGGGCAGAAACAGGTATTCCATCACTAAGGGCTCAAGCGCACCTAGCGATCCTGAAATCGATGCCAGAATTTCAAAATCTTCCAAATGAAACATTTAGCATAATTAGCTACTTAGATTTTATAATAACATCATTTCATGATACTCTGTACCTGATTACTTATCCAGATCTTTTGTAAATACCCGGAACTTGCGCCAATGGGAATTTAATGAGGATGCTCTTTTAGACAAAAGATTAATATTCCAGTTAAAATCTGCACCATGGTATCACAGGATTAAAAAAGATCACTTAAGAACCTCCTACTTGTCAGACATTGCAGTCCACAGTTAAAGAGCAGCATTTATCACTCTTCGCTTTCAATCCATGCCCACTGAAGTGCTGCTTGGAAGGTATACCAACAAACCACAGAAACAATGTGTGTGTGTGTGTGTGTGTGTGTATGAGGTACCGCAGTGGAAGATCTATTTCATTACATCATGGTCTGTCCTTTATACTCAGACCTAAGAAGCAGATTCCTATTCTGGAATTTTAAGCCAACTTTGCAACGTACCTGACAATGAAAAGTTGGTTTCCTCTTGTTGGACATGGATCCTCTGGTTACTCGCAAGGTAGCGCTTTTTGCGCTTGCAGCCAGAAAAGTTAGATCCAAGGTGGTTTCTAGTTAACATAGAGCTACAAAACTGGTAGCATAGCTTCTATGATTTTAAAACTTTGTTGTATTGTTGAAATGTTATACAGTTTATTTTGAGGGCTTTGTTTTTAGAACAGTACTTTTGAACCTTAAATTTATATTGTGCATATTTTATATTGTAACGGCCTTACTACTACTACTTACACTCCCAAGCCCAATTCAAGGTGTTGGTTTTGTACTTTAAAGCCCTACGTGGCTTGGGACTGGAGTATCTGAAGGACCATCTTCTCCCATACATGTTTGCCTGGGAATTAAGATCAAAGGGAGAGCCCTCCCCACTGTCCCACCAATTAAAGATGCTAATTTGGTAGGTACATGAAAGAGGGCCTTTTCCATGGCCCCCTCACAATTATGGAACAGCTCCCCTGGTAGGTGTGCCTGGCTCCCTTCAGGAGGCAGTTGAAGACAGTTTTATTTGGGTTTGAATTTAAATTGATTTAGCTTTTATCACTGGCAGTCCTAATTGGAGTTCTTAAACTATTAACTAATTAATAGTTGGTAACTTGCAATCTGTCTTTCCAAGAACATATGAAAAAGCCCTAAATAATACATGTTGCGACTGAACTGTGCGACTGAACAACAACAAATACATGGAATCTATAACTTCCTCTCAAGAAACCACATCCTTATGCCATATCATCTCAACTGTATTTGGAAGAGTTGTCATCACTTCATTGCTCATTAGTGCAAATAAGAATAAATGTTACCATCACATAACAAAACATACCTTAAAGGCTGAGTGCCTTCTAATTTAGCTTGGTTTGGTACCTTCTAATACATTTTAGTATATACATGTAGATGTGTTCAGTTGCATGAACAGTACATCCCTCTGACTAGCATGAGGACAGATATTACCTATAATAGAAAGCTGCATTAGTCATGCTCAGAACCATACCAACTGGACTATTCAAATTCTCATTTGGATTATTTTTTTCACAGGAGGAGTAGAGAATCCTGATATTTTTTGGTAGAGAGGTCCCTCCCCAGAATACCTAAATCATAAGTATAAAGAAGAATGAATTGAGCCCTGACCTGGATAGCTCAGGCAAGCCTGATCCTGTCAGTTCTTAGAAGCTCGGCAGGACTGACCCCAGCAAGTAACTGGTAGGGAGACCTCCAAGGAATACCAGGGCTTGGGACACAGAAGCAGACTATCAAAACATCCAAGCCCCCAGTAGGGGTCGCCAGACGTCACAAGGACTTCTAGGCTCGCAAGCACATACATACACAAACACACACACAAATATCCCCCAACAAATACCCCCTCAAAAGAAGAAGAATCAATCGAAATGTAGCCTTCTGTAAGCATTGTAAGTACCTGATCACTTACTAGAGTTTTATTATTTGTTTTAAGATTGTATATAATTTGTTACCTATATGTTTAATCTCGTTGTAAGCCGCCCTGAGCCTGCTCCCGGCATGGAGGGTGGGGTATAAATTGAATAAAGTTATTAACCAACTCTCGTGTCTCCACAGTTTTCTGCACTGCATCCAGAAGCATTTTTCCCCCTTGCCCTCTTCTTCTATTGCTTTCTCAACTCCTTCTAGCATGAGCTGTGCCATGTTGAATCCCACAATATCCATCACCTCTACTTCCATTGTCTCATGTTTTAAGAGGTTAATTATGTTTCTATACTTTGTGGAAGATTTCACCATATCGCTTTTACTCTTAGAAAAACGGAAAAACACAAACTGCATTCACGAAAATCAAAGATATACTAACTTCACTGACCAATTTTTTTAAAAACTGACAAATTACTGACCAAGGTGAAAAAACTGACTTTTACTAATTTTACTGACCATTTCCCACCCCTGTTGGTCTTAAAGGTGCCACTGGACTCAAACTTTGTTCTTTGTATTTGGGAGGGGAGGGGATTCACCGTTACTATGGGAACGGCGACTCACCCGTTTTAAGGAGACCGCACCATACGAGAAGCCTTTTCCCGCCAATCAGCCAACTTCCCTCCTAGTCCGTTCCTTCCCTCATTCCCTTCTCTTGGGTTTCCTGCAGATCGTCATAAAGACAGAAAAAGCGTGTTACACACGGTCCGAACTTCCGGGGAAAATACAAGGCAGCCAGTATTGACAATTACTCTCCATAGCTGCAAAACTGCGGTGACGCTCTATCCTTTGGTGTGTCTGTGATAAAACCCCTAAATACTTTGCCGGAAAAGTATCGACCGGAAGTATCGACGTATACCGCTGGTATCTCTATGTGGAGAGAGAGAGATGGAAAGGAGACGTTCTTGAAAAGGAAGTGAGGTAAGCGTAGCGGAAGTAAAGTCGAGACTGTCCTAGCATGCAAGGGCTGTTTCACAGATCCGCAAGAAAGGATGGCCGGCTCAGTCAAGCCCCTCTTACGGCTGTTGGCGGGGCGGGTGTTGCGAGCCTCGCCATGTGGTGCTTGCTGTTGTCACCCAGCCCGCCGCTTGGCTACGGAGCCCCTGGGCAATAAGCCGCGGGACGGCCCCAGCAAACCTGGGGTGAGCAAGTTCTGGGCGTTGCTCGAGGGAGGAGAGGAGGTGGATAGTGCCTTTTCCAGGGCAGAAAGGGTCGTTCATTATGACTTGGGGCGGAAAAGTGATACCTGCACGAAATCGGCACCATTAAAACCGGCTTTATAAACTGATGCTAGGGGTATCGGAAGGTGGATTGTAATCCAGGAGGAACTGCTGCGCCCTTAATCCTCTCTTGCCTTTTGTTAGTATGATAGAAGTTGAAAGATTTCTTGTTTGGATAGCCGGACACGCGATCCTCGTGGTGATAGGGTAGTCGGCTAGGGTTTATCAATCGTGTCCGTGGACCCGGTAGAAATGTGTTATGATCTATGGACCTTTCCCAAGCCAGCATGCATGGAGCGCGTCTTGAGCCCTAGCAGATGTAATAAATTCTGTTTTCGTTCCGAAATAACTCACGGACAATATTGTGGTAATGGCAGCCCAGACAGAGGCCTGATGGACCCTGTTAAAGTGTACCTGTTTATCTCTCTCACTTTAATTTTTATTTAATTTAAAATATTTGTTAGCTCCCTTTTTTCCTTACAGAGCTCAAGGAGGCTTGCAGCATAGCTAAAGTACATTAAACCCCCCAAAATTTAAAATCACAGTTCAGGACTGCTAGTAAACTTAACCAGATGTGATTCTAAATAAAACCATCTTCAACTGCCTCCTAAGGATTGAAAGTGAGGGGGTCAGGTGCACCTCTCTGAGGAAGTTGTTCTATAATTGGGTTGCCCTCTCTGGTGTACAGTGTTTGGGCCCCAAATGTGGGGATGGGATGAATAAAAGGCAGAGGAGAACTGGGCATTTACATTGGGCTGGAGAAGACTTTAGAGTGTTAATGAGTCTGTGAAAGCAATTGGTTGGACAACAATTTTGTGAATAAACAGCTAAGAAAAATGTTTATTTACAGAAGTACTTCCTCTTTCTTTTTCCCAGTAGCCTGTGACTTGGAAATCTCTGGTGATTACTTGTGCTTTTGGTGGAGGACTGTTAACAGTAATGAAATATTTCAAGAAAGAAAAAGAAGACAGTATGTATGCCACAATTTTTTTTAACTAGTCTCTTTGCTGTATTAGTGTGGGCATGTTGTTTTCCTTCTTAAATGTGGGGCAATCTGCACAAGTGGCTGTAAATAGTATAGTTCTTTAGATTTTAATCCTAAGTGTTTGTTACCGCAATGCAACCTCACACTTTTCTTAGATTTTAAGAACATAAGCTATTTATTTTCATGAAATCTTAATATTTTTATTTATAATATATATTATTCCTTTAATATGTCTGTTCAAGGTTGGTGTGTTAAACTTATTCAGAAAACTGTTTGAATGAGAGTATATCTGTATATTTAGATTTTCTTATTTGAAATAATGAATTTAAGACTAGTTGCAATTTTGGAATTTGCAACCTATCTTAGTAACTATCTCTGTTTTTGATAGCCTAGCATTTTAAATTGCCACCTGAACTTGTACATAATAACATAAGAGAAGCCAATGTTCAATCAGGCCAATGGCCCATTCAGTCCAACACTCTGTCACACAGTGGCCAAAAATACCAGGTGCCATCAGGAGGTCCACCAGTGGGGCCAGGCCACTAGAAGCCCTCCCGTTGCACACCCCCCCCCCCAGCACCAAGAATACAGAGCATCACCTGCCCCAGACTGAGAGTTCCTATCTATACCTTGTGGCTAATAGCCACTGATGGACCTCTGCTCCATATGCTTATCTAATTCCCTCTTGAAGCTGTCCTTGCTTGTAGCCGCCGCTACCTCCTGTGGCAGTGAATTCCATATGTAAATCACTCTTTGGGTGAAGAAGGGCTTCCTTTTATCTGTTCTAACCTAACTGCTAAGCAATTTCATTGAGTGCCCCCAGTTCTTGGATTGTGAGAAAGGGAGAAAAGTACTTCTTTCTCTACCTGCTCTGCCCCATGCATAATCTTGTAAACCTCGATCATGTCACCCCTCAGTCGTCATTTCTTCATGCTAAAGAGCCCAAAGTGCTTTAACCTTTATTCATAGGGAAAGTGTTCCAATCCTTTTTTCATTCTAGTTGCCCTTTTCTGCACTTTTTCCAGTGCTATAATATTCTTTTTGAGGTGTGGTGACCAGAACTGTACACAGTATTCCAAATGAGGTCACAGCATCAATTTATATAGTGGCATTATGATACTGTAGAAAATAAAAGGTATGCGATAGCAGTTCATTTTGAAATGTTCTTAAGCTACCATTTATAGTGAAGCTTCAGGCATATATCCATCCATTTTCTGTTTTCAGTGCTGGAGAAGGAGCGGACACGAGCTCTGGGAAAGCCATTGCTAGGAGGCCCTTTCACACTTATTGATCACAAGGGACAGCCCAAGACTGACCATGACTATCTAGGCCAGTGGGTGTTAATATACTTTGGTTTTACACACTGCCCTGACATCTGCCCAGAAGAGCTGGAAAAAATGATTCTAGCAGTGGATGAAATTGGTAAGTAAGCTGAACTGAAACCTCAGTTTTCCCTGTATTAGGTTTATGCCATAGAATCTTTTTATTTGATTTATGCAATGAGTATTTTTGAAAGTTCTGTAATCACCACATATTTTTTCTCTTGCGTGTGTCTGAATCTCGTTGCAAGGAATACATTAAGTTATCCGCAATGGAAAATGAGCAAATATTGTAAGTGGGTAGAGCACAATTTGTAAAAAGTTTGGTTGCTGGTTACATTTAGATGTAGGGACAGACTTGAGTGTGTGTATGTGTTTGAGATGGGCACAAACATGGCTTGTTTGTTGAGCTTGTGTACCCCTCCCTCTTAGTACTGTCCCGTGCGTAGAGCATGATTGAAATCTTCCTGGTTTCAGAAGCTCTGAATCAAACTCCTGCCAAATCCAAACAAAGACACTGGGCAATTTGGAGTTTGTTTCTTGCCCTCAAGCTGGGTTGCTAGGCTGGGTTATTAGTTTAGAATCTTGGTTTGTAGGGAAAAATAGGGAAAGCCATTTGTCCAGATGCCTGCATTCAGAATGCCACAACAAACTGGAGTTTGAAGGCTTTCAGTCATGTTCAATATGGAATGGGAGGAAGAAAGGTGGTAAAACATATTGAACAAACTATGTCCATTCCTAACAAAGCAAAGGTTTGTTGAGTTGTCATAGTAGGGATAGTGTGTGTGTGCATTTGTTTTCATGTTTTAAGAAGCATTGTGAAATGAAATCTGCGCACCAGCAGAAAGGGGGGGGAGTCTCGCTACCCCCCCCCCGGAACCTGGTTGAAAGGCTCCTAGCCATGGGACTTTTGAGAGGTAGCCTCTTTGCCAGCGCAATGCTGGGGAACCAAGGCGCTTCTCCGTCCTGACGGTCCTCCTGCTGTGTGTCCGTATGGAAGTAGTGACACTGACTGGGACAAGCGCTGGAAATCGAGCGGTTTAAACGGAGCTACAGCGAGGTCGCAAGACTGACTATGAACTGTGAGTCGGATTAGAGCGCAATTGACATTTTAAAAAGAAAGCTCCCACCCCAAGGACTAGGAAAGAAAGCGAGCGGGGGGGGGGCCTCCCATGCACACGAATTTAAATGCGAGACCCGAGGGGGGAGCGGAAGCAAAAACACTGAAATCTGTTGGGAGAGACTTACCAGGGCATGGATAAACGTATGAGCGTATATTCAGAGACTTTAGCAAATCTTCGGAAAGTAAACAATCCATAAAGATGGCGGGGAAGAGGACTGAGAAAGAAAAACTTTCAAAAGCGAAAGTAGTTGGGAGCCCTCGTCCAGAAGAAACCACTGAGTTGGCTAAAACGTTGGCAGAATCCCTGCTTCTCCTGCTGGACCAGATGACTAATCTCAAGGAACAGTTGTCAATGATGAACCAAAGCATCACTACTCAGCAGCTTCAATTGAATGAGACTCTTAAAATCACGGAGCAAACAGCTGAGAAAGTGAAAGAATTTGACTCCAGTACCCAAAAGAAAAGGGTGCAAAAACTGGAAAAGAAGCAAATTTCTACAGAAGAACAACTTTTACAGCTACAAATGGAGAAGGCAAACTTGGTTCTTCGATTCCAAGGGGTCCCAGAATTCAAAGGCGAGAATCTGAAGCAAGTGATGAGCAATGCATTAGCCCCAGTGACAGATTTGAAGGCGGAGTATCTTATGAGCGAGATGGATGTGGCCTAGAGGTCCTATTCCATATACATAAAGAAGAATAATCTGTCTGGGGAAATAGTAATGAGATTCTCGAAGAGGCATGTGAGGGACACCCTTGAAAATTGGGGACAGTACCATCAGGATCCTGAAAGACATCCCATTTGAAATAAGACAAAGGAGAAAGAAATATAAAGATTTAATTCTTTTTCTTCAAACAAATGCAATTAGCTACAGGTGGTTATATCCAGAGGGCGTAACCTTCAAACTTCAGGATAAAAAAGAAAAGATTGACTCTGTTTCCAAAGCATGGGACTTTTTGAGAATCCAGTGGGGTGAGCCAGAGGAAGTGGATAAAAAGGAGAAGGACAGCCAAGTCCAGTGGTGAGCTGGACTCGGGGTCTTCTGGAGAGGACTCTCTTTCTGAAAATGGGGCGGCTGCCCCTAAAAGTCCATATAAACTGAGGAAAAGACAAGAGAAGAAAAAATGAAGGCTGAAGGACTCCGAATTGTGCCTTTGAAAATATGGTTTTTAATAATGGGATGCTCTGGGGTTTCTCTCTAACAGTTAAATCTAAGTTTTAAAAGATATTTTAGCATGTCTGACTAAGTTCAAAAGATATTAGCGATTCAAGGAAAGATTTTGTACTGAAGCTGTTTTAATGATCTCCTTCTCTTGGGGTTTTAGTTAGTAGTGGTTATCTTTACTTTCTCCTTAATTGTAGTTCCCTTCCCTTCCCTTCCCTCCGGGGGCCAGAAAAAAAAGAAGCAGCATAATTTCCCCATAGCAAAAGTTGCTGGTGCACGCTTGTAATGCCTTCATTGTGCTGAGCCCTTTAAACAAATTCCTACTTAGCCAAATAATTTCAATCTTGCATCCAGATATTTTTAATTCTTTTTTTCATCTGTACTATTTCAATGAATTTCTGCTAATATAAGTAGTTTGCATTAATTATTCCAGTAGCTGATTTTGAGCTATCTTGTTGCAAGGATCTTACATGTAAAATTAGAATTCCTTTCCCTAGATTTAGCAGCCATTAGCTATTCATCCAGTTTCTCACCCCCCCAAAAAAAAGAATGTGAGAATGAGAGTCAGTTGCCTCTTGACACTATAAAGAGAAAAGTTGCCACATCTCTCACACAGTTTGCCAATCTACTTGATAGCCGATAGCATAGTGTCTGCTTCTCAGAAAGCTTTGTTAGCTGTTTTATACAAGGAGTAATGTATTGGTTTTGTGCAATGTTGTTTTGGAGACATATTAAAACAATATGACCTAGAAAGTCTACTTGATCCGGGCAATAAGGGCATTTGCATTCCTCTGCACAAATTCTATTATATCTCCCTTGCACCTCATCTGAGTCTTACAGTGTTACACCTAGTTTGTCTAAACTTATGAATTTCTAACCAGCAGAAATAGTCTGGCAAGGAAAAATTACCACTAAAGGGTATCTTTAGGGAAGGGAGTGGAGAACATTTGCAATTTGCATCCTTGAGCACCAAGGACCAATCTTCATTTAAGGTCTTATTTTGGAACTTTTTACAACTTACTTTCCAAGTACTATTCCTTGCAGCCTTCAGTCACTATTGGGAGAGTCTTTTATCTACATTCCCTTTCCAGTTGGACATAGAGGTATCTGACGTTAACAACTGAAACAAAACAGGAGCTATTGATGGCTCGAAGAGGGAAAATCAAAATTTAATGACAGATTGCTAAATAAGAGTGGATACATTTGGAAGCCCCAGCTCTAATCACAAGGTGAAGGAGGAGATAGCATCACATATACCCAACAGGTTTCTAAAGAATTTGACTTGGAAGAAAATCAAGACATTCTATATGACCAGTACACCTTTCTGGAGTAGTATATCTGATGCCCGAATTATTAATTGCTCAACACAGGATTATAAGTGCTGGTACAAATTACCCTCCTTCACAGTAAAATATTTTTTAAAGAAAATAAACAAGGAGGGTTAACCTGCATTAACATATGGATAAAAGAGAAATGTTGTGAAAACATAACCCCGAGATACTTGAAATTTCTCACTATCTCTTTGTGTGTGTGTGCATGCACACATGTGAGTGTGTGTGTGCACCTGGAAATCACGGCGACCTCTGGTGACTGACCCCTGCTGGGGGCCTGGAGGATATTCAGAAAGGTGGCTGAATAAAGCCTACCCCTGCCTTCCACCTCTGGTATTTCAAGGAGGTCTACTATCCAAGTACTTGCCACAGTCAACCATGTTTAGCTTCCAAGATCCAACGAGATTGGCCTTGCCTGGGCTATCCAGGTCAGGGCATCAAATTTCTTACTATCTCAAGAACATTCCCACCTAGGAGGGTTTGTCTGCAAAGATGGTGGCGAGATAGCACCACCGTTTAGTTGCCCTGCAGCTTTATGTACATTCTCAAAAAAGAATTTTAATTGGCCTCAACCAAAATATTTGGACTTTTAGTTGACTTGGAACAGTTTGAGCTTATTTTTATATTCAATTATCAGCCGAAAGCCTAGTCTCTGATAACACAGCAGTTGCAACCTTGGAAGCCTCAAGAGCAATTTAATTAATCAGTTTTTCAGAGTTTTCCAGTAACAATAGAAAAGAAAAAGAGACACAATCTGATTTCTACTCTCCTTTGAAAGCAACTAAACAACCACATCTGGAAGATTTTCAGTCCAAAGTAACAACAGGTAAATCATCTTCTTTCTTATCTCCAAACCCACCCAACGTGTTGAGTGTGGAGGAGGGGAACACAGAGGAGGAGTCACTATTACAGCCAGATTCAGACTTTCTCCCCTCGAACGGGACTGACAAAGATAAATATTCCAGCATAGTAGAAATGACAGAAACATCATCTTATCCAGATAGCAATTCCCTATAAAGCACATCTGTTATTGGAGGCAAAAGAACTTGAAATGCATCTACAATTACAAAAAGACTCTTTAACGAAATTCATTGGGGAACATTGTTTACTAGCAGGAAACGCTAATAGCTATTTTTCAAAAACTAAATGACATCCTTAATATGCTTGATATATTTGGCAACATGATCAAGGTCTTCAATGAAAAAACAAGCTATTATTCCCACAAGTGAAACTCCCAGAATTCCCAAGCCTCGCTCTCAGCCCACCAACTCAACTGCCAACTTAAAAGGCCATTCATTATTATTTTGCCAGCAAGGAATACATACGACACAAGAGAAACCAAATGTAAATCCCTCTCTTCACCTCCAAACAAACCAGGTGGTATTGCGTATCTCCTACAATCACATAAATTGTGGCCGATGGGGAAATAAATGTGACAGTCTTTATTCCCTGAGTCAGCTTTTAAGAACTTAGATACAACACATCGA